AAAAAGGCGAATTCAAATCAAATTTTCTCGTAAAAAAACAAGAAGTAAATGAATTTAACCAACAAGACTTAATCTTACTCTTCTAAAGCTCACTAGAAATGAATGCAAAAAAAAAAAGTTTACTAGGCTTCAGTTCCCCTTTCATTTAAACAGAGAGGATCATAACCTTTTTAGGTGTAAATATGGTACGGGGCTTTTATGTTTTCTATCTTTCCAAATTTTACATCCTCTTACACTTCTTCATGATTCTTGAAGAGGTTAAGATCCCAGGGAAAGAGTACCATATACGGTAACCCCATACATTAATTATGCATTCAATTTCATTAATTATGTATACACCCAATTGTTTTTAAGACAATGACTTATTCCCATAGGTTTAGCATGTATACATTACTAATAAGTACTTACTGCTTCAATAAAAGAGAAACAGATTGAAAGTGGCTCTTTCGTCTCCATTCCTTTCTCACGTTCTTCTCCCTTCTCTTTGTTCCCAATTCCCTTCTCCCCTTTGTTCCCAATAACTTCTCCTTGGTTTTTTTTCTTTTCTTTCCTTTTAACCTTCTTAGCAGTTCTGCTGAGCCTTGAACCATCGCTCCTCAGATAACGCGTTATAATCAGACCATTATCAAACCATAGCCTTACCACTATGCTACGCAAAGTTAGGTTATCAAAGCAAAGTTAGTTATCAAACCATAGCCTTACCACTATGCTACGCAAGTTAGGAGTTCCTCTCTAAAAGCTACTTTTTCTTTCACCTTTCAGTAAAAAAATTTTCATAACAATATGTGCATTGATATAATGCACCAAAGGTCCCCTTTGCACTAAAGGATGCATTTCTTCTTCTCTACGATTGGCCAAATACCACATAGAAAACAAAATTTATTCATACCTCTTTCTAATAACATCAACGAAAGAAGAGGATAGAAAGAAGGAGAACAACAACTCGGAGATGGAGAGACTGAATTCTATTCGACTTTTTCGAATATTATTGGATCACGAGCGGTGCATACAGTGGTGTAATGATCACAACCTCCTTGCGACGTCGGTAAAATGTCCTTGAGCTGGGTGCAGCAATGAACTTAGCTGGATGCGACGTGCTTCATCGCGAGACAGGTATGAGTGGCGATGTTTAAAAAAGGGTTACGATGGAATGGCTTCAATGCGCCGGAATTCACCGGTGCGCCCACACAGGGCATCGAAAATACATGGTAGGGAATCAAGCGGGGTTTGCCCTAAACAGGAACATCCAAAGGACTTTTCGATGGCTACCTACAAGAATATATGTGGCGTCAGCACTACGGAAACGATCCCTTTGGAAACATTATCGAACATATCGCCCAACTTTATGAAGTCCAGAAAGACCAGATACAAAGGTTTCTTTGCATCGCTGTATGCACCGGCCTTCACGAGCAATTTTCATCACTAGGGCACGAAAGGATAATGAAAGAATCAACCAAAACCACAAGAACAGGTAAGACACAACATTTATTTAAACTTTGCACTCACAAACTTCAAAGCCTGACCTTAGACTTAACGTTATTTTCCCGCCAATTTTACGCTTTCAAAGCGAAACTGAACATTAAATTATATTTCAAAATTAAAAACCTCTGGAAAAGGCCTTAAATTTCTCGTTTTGCAAAGCCAAAATGCACCGAATCTACCCTGTTTCAAAAAAGACTTAGAAAAAAAATCCAAATTTTGAAAACAATGACTACTAGTCTCTGCGGAGTTCTATTGTTATCGCTATTGTTTTCATTGAACAAAGACTGAATGCATAATTAATGTATGGGGTTATATGGTACTCTTGCCGATCCCAGTCTCTGCTAATTTAAAGGAAATGTGTTTCACTCTATTTAATTTTAATTACATGACTGTTAATAACACAAAAAAGCTTGTGATTGTCAGATGAGCAACACATCCACAGGCACGCAGCAACTACAGTGGAATGGTCAACTCTGAAGGTCAAGTCCAATGGACTTTGCAGCAAATGCTTGTGAGTACACATGAGCAACTACGGCCCATTGTATAGGYMWYGRAAGKAAAAAAGAAAGCAACAAAAAAAAAACACGATATCACAAGTAATTTATAAAGTCAGTCATTTTTAAAAAACCTAAAACAGAGTGGAGAAAAAATAAAAATATCACCCGGTCCAAACTCCACTGGGCAGGTCCAAAAGTTGTCCATTACATTGTATTGCAAAAAAAAAAACAAAGTTCAAGACAAAGTGTTTGCCAACCCACCAGAACTGAGTAAAAGTCTTAAAAACCTCAAATGATAACAAGATGGTTTCACGAAAAAAAACTTTACAGAACTGTGAAACCGATAAGGTAACGGTAACCATTTTAATATTATGCTACCCCACCCGAAAAATAACACCCTGTGGGGATGTTACGCACATGCACAATTTGTACCTACCTAGTTCGCTAGCTGTCTCCTGCAAAACCTTCTCCAGTTTGTCCTTACTGCGACCAGCAACAGCCCACTTAAACTTTCCCTTGCAGTTCTTTGCTACCTCTCTTACCACAAATTGACCGGTGAATCCACTAGCACCGAAAACAACGATAGCGAATTCCTTATCACTGGTCGCCATGATGATTTGGGACCTTCTCTTCTTTACTTGTTCCAAAATTTGACTAAGGAGATTGGGTATGAATGACTAAGGCTTTATTGCTATGAATCATGGGATATTACTTTCAACATGGCGGCTTAAGGGCTTTCATTGTAAGACATCTAATTAAATTTTGGAGATCATTAACTTTTGTCCAGTGAGGGAAAATTTAACGAGTTTATTTGACACTGTAAAACCATGGGAAAGAAGCACAAGAGTAAAAAACATCATAAGAAAGGCACTGATGCCAGTGAAGGTAAGTCATGTTTTGAATAAAATCTCGAAATTCGAGATTTTATTCAGGTGATCACGGTCACTAAACATGCTATACAAAATGCGTAAAACTAAATCCGCGTCTTCACTTTTTCAGAGAAACCCGATAGGTCAGAGAAAGCTGAGAAAGGAGAAAAGCCGATCAAACTTGTTCTTAAAGTTGGGAGTAACCAAGAAAAAGTTGCTGCCAAGCAAGAGTCGCCAAGTTTAGCAAGCAGGACCTCGCTAAATCCAGACAAAATGAAATCTAAAGAACACTCCTCCAAAAAGAAAAAGAAAAAGAGATCGTCTTCAAGAGAAAGAAAGAAACCCAAGATGGACCATGCTTCTAGCGTAAGGATTCAAGCCCTTGTGTTACAACATCCTAAGAGAGAGCACGCATGTTTAATTGCATTTGTGTTCTGTTGTGTCTAAACGAAGTAATGATTACCAAGTCCAAACGCGAGAAGAAGGCATCCTAGGGCTGGAAATGATTTCAAATGTGTTTTTCACAGAGGCTTTCAGTAAACACCCAGAAATAGCATACTCCAGTTTTAGAATCCAGTTGATTTCTTTCTTTTTTGCCTACAATCCATTCCATATGAATCAACTTACGATGTTGTTGTTATTTAATCTGATTAACTGAAATTTGTTATCTGTTGGTGACAATACTAAAACCAGTTTTTTTTTTTAAATAAGTTTAAATTTACCTTCCTTGTAGTTTTTGTAGTTTTTGAACTTTTATTCAGGATCTAGTAAATTGCAGTTTTCCAAAAATCTTCTGAAAAATCTTCTGTTATCTGTGCAGGCTTGTGCTTCACCCTCATCTGTTGGTGGCCATGAAAGATCAAAGAAGAAAAGAGACAGACTTGAGATGGAAGCAGAAAGTAGCAGTGTCATTGAAGCAGAAAGACCAATCAAGAAAATCTATATTAAACCAATTGAACCTCCAGTCAGGTAACAAACATTTTGTTGAATAGCTCAATGATTCTTCCTGGGTGAAAAAATAGAAACTCTTTTCTTGAGTTATTTGTATTTTGGTCCTTATTTTACTTATTAATTTGTCTGATTTGTATTAGGAACATTCCAGAGGCTATAAAAGTCAGTGGTAAGTCAGATTGTTTTGGAGTATTTATTTAGACATCTTCTGATTACCTATGAGGTTAATTCAACATCCATATACCTGTTTAACAAAAATGATTTGGAGAGATTTATGTTTTACTTAGAATTGCATCATTGAAGTCAATCTCACATTCTGATTGGTTAGCGAAGCAAGGTATTTAGCGTGGAATTGCGAGTTGAAAACAAGGCTAAGTGAAATTGTTTCGCATCTACGTAAGCATAACAACTATTGTTACAAAGTTTGGTTTCTAAGTCAGTTTAAAATGTTTTCAAAACCATTGTCATCTTTTAAAGAGCCAAAAACAAAGAAAACAAAGAAAACGTTAGCGATGTTAAACTTTCAGTGCTTTCACTTGCACACTTCATTTCTTTCCATTTTGCCACAAAAGAGGTAAAAGGTGTAAACTATTTTGCTTCTCGAGCAAATTCAGTGGAAATTTGAAAAAAAAAATGTTAATACTAAACGGCTTGTAAATTCAGTGAAATACCACCATTATCCTTAAATAGTGTAAAGCTTGCTTAAAAAGTTTGAAAACGAATGTAAAAACAAGGTTCAAATAAGGAAAAAGGAGTCAAGGGTTCTAACGTGCACGACTGACCTTGCTTCCTATTCGCTAACGCAATGACAGTTCTGACAGTTGACTTCAAAATGGCTTTCTAGAGCGTGCGCTCAGGATGAAAACAAACAATATTATTGCTGTTTTCTTGTTTTCCAATTTTTATTCAGTGATGCGATTCAAGGAAAATTCATCACCTGATTCGTGAGTTCCGCGTTAAATTGCACTTGAAAACTGATATCGCACTCATCGCTTCGCGATTCATGCGATATCGGTTTTTGCGTGCAATTTAACGTGGAATTCCCTCGTCAGGTAATGAATTTGCCTATAGAATTACTGGTAGTAATACCATAATTACTTAACTCTACTTTCAAAGGGCAGTCATAAAGATCATGGATCAATTCATTTAAATGTGAACTCTTCAGTCACTGCTGCTTTATCTAAGGGAATCCATGTTTAGGCTGACTGATGTCACTTTGAATGGAGCCAGTAGCCTTTTAGGATCACTTGAGGCTGGAAGGATTTAAAGAATTTTAAATACATTAGTTACAGTACTCTAAGATGCATAAATTATGTGATCTTTATTTGAGGAAATTGGGTTCACACTGCAGGGCTTGACACTAATGCTAGCCCAGGAGCCACAGACTAGTGGTTTTTTATTTCAACCAGCCAGTTTGGCTTGTAAGCAAACTGAAAGTGTCGTAACATCTAAGATGTCACTAGACACTTCGCTATAGTAAGTTGAAAAGTTAATGTCGAGCCCTGGACTGGCAATATACAATTTGGATGGCAACTTTGCTATACTTTATCTTTGCAGGAGTGCAGATTTTATACCTGCAACATCAGCTATAATCATTATGATAATATTGCATGCTTGAATTGAAGATCAAATAACCAGTGGAATCATTGATAGATTTAAGTGGAGGGGGGAGGGTGGGTGTTAAATTTTGACCTAGTTTGATTGTATCAGGAAAGTAATGTGAGGTTTGTACAATTGTATCCAGAATTCTGTTAACTTTTTCTAAAATTTCATTTTAAAGGTCATGTACGAGAACCAGAGATCTCACCATTGCAGCTATGTTTGGAAAATGTACATCGTACTCTTCAGAGGTTAGCCAATGTTTAGTTGTTGACTCTCTGATAATGAACTATTGAGGTGCAAGTATAGGTGTGTTAAGACAGACAAAGGAGCATTCAATAGAGCATTAAATGGGTTTTTAATGGTCAAAACACTATACCCATCCTGTAAATTAATGTTACAACATGTAGAGCCTAATCAACTGTGGCCCTTTTCACCTTGGTAAAAATCAAACATTAAGCAGATGCTTATGTACACTTAATTGTGTTGTATGTGCAGGTTAAATTGGCAAAATGTAATTGTTACAAATACTCTTTTTGTTAAAATCATTCGTGAATAGAATGACCTGCCCGCCAATGTCATTGAGATAGGTAACTTTAACATGTTTCAAAACAGCTCTTAAATTATACATGTGAATTTCTTAGGTTTTTATCCATCTTAGATTTTATTATAAGCATACATTTTTAAATTTTATTTCTTTGGAAGTTTATTTACATAGGGTTAACCTCTTAAACTTCCTTTTTAGGGTATTATTATTTTGTGTTGTTTATTCTCTGATACCTTAAATAAAATATGTATGTATGTATGTATGTATGTATGTATGTATGTATGTATGTATGTATGATGTATGTATGTATGATGTATGTATGTATGTATGATGTATGTGTGTATGTATGGTACTTTGTCTCACATGGATAGCTACTTGTTGTTTATCATAGAAAACTCCAAGTACAGTGAAGGGTTTTTAGATCCAAGTTGTGAGGGATTTTAGGTACATGGAAATGCCTAAAAATCGTAATGAACAAGTATGTTTATAAAAATTACTCTTTTGTTCTTACAGAAAGGATACCCAGGGATTCTTTGCCTACCCTGTGAATGACACCATAGCACCAGGTTATTCCAACATCATCACACACCCAATGGACTTCAGCTCCATGAAATACAAGATTGATTCCAATGATTATTATTCCATCGAGCAGTTTAGGGTGAGGAAATAAAAAAGCTAGAAAAATTGACTCCTCTCAATTTGTAATTTTTGCAGACATATTTGGTATTTTTGATACATCATGCAGTAGAGATAAAGAATCTAATCCTACCTATGCGTCAGCCAACGCATTGGCCAACATGTTGGCCAATGTGACACACTTCTGATGCACTACTTAGACGCCACTGACACATCAGCCAAGGCACTACTGAAGTGTTGGTAAGATCAACCAACACATGGGCCTACATGTCGGCTGAAACGTAAGAAAAGAGATCTGAATTTCAGCTATTTTGAAAAAGAAACACTAGCACTCAAGTCCTTGTGATGGACTGGTGTCCCACGCAGGAGGGAGTAGTAATGCTAATGCTATGGAATACAGTCTTTACTTTGTTTCTCTTCAGGATGATTTCTACTTGATGTGTAACAATGCAATGGTTTACAATGCACCAGAGACAATATACTACAAAGCAGCCAAAAAGCTACTTCAAACAGGAGTAAAACTTTTATCACCAGTAAGTTTGAACTTTATGGAATTTTTTCTTTATGTTTATTCATGAGATAATGTTCATTGACTATGTCTGCACTGATTCACTTGTTCGTCTATCAGTTTATCTGTTCATGTAATCATGTTTTCTTATTTTTTGTTCAAGATTTCATCCTAGTATTCCCTCAGTTTTGTTCTTTACTTTGTTTTGTGGTTTCTAGCAATTTTCTTTTGCTCATTCATATGTACATTGTATTCATTCAAGAGAACCCTTATTTTTTTTTACTTCCGTGTGATATAAATATGCTTGATCAGCAAATACCGACACTGCATGATTATGCATTTTTATTTTGAAAAGGAAAGCTAAAGTTAAGCTTTCTTTGCAGCAATCAGAATTGAAGTTAGAATCAACTTTTAAAATAAGAATTCCAGTAATGTGAAACAATGAAACTCTTCCCTTATAAATAAGTTCATTACATTAGGGGCTGTTCATGATTTCTGTGTCATTTGCTAATTAACAGGAGAAAGTGAGGAATATGTATCGCAGCATTGGGTTTCCTGTAACAGATTATGAAGGTAATGAATCTGATGGACGTGGTTCTGATGAACCAATTGATGTTGACACAATAGACACAGAGGAAAACCATGTACCACAGTCAACTAAAAGGACTAAGCCAAGGTAACACACACACTCGTATAATTATATATATGAGGTCAAGATTTCCCTCGTATACAGAATATATATATATAAGCGAAATAGGCAACGTAGGATCCAGGACAGTGCTCGACAATGAAGGAGCGATTACAGTAGCAAATGGACTACTCAAGTTACGCACATATGGATTTTAATACAGCCTGTTTCGTAGACTAACAAAAGTTGATCCACTCATCAGTCAAACTCCATACACACTGTGTAGTCCATTTGCTACTATATATATATATATATATATATTTTTTTTTTTCATGTTTATATCCTTCCAGTTAGTTTCTGAGACTCCCTACTGAAGAAGGGAGGTGGATCACCCTGTTTGTCTGTGGGTCTGTCTGTCAGTCTGTCAGTCTCCAGATCTGTCAGTCTGTTTGGGGGTCTGTCTGTAGATGTCTGTCTGTCTGTTAGTTTGTTGTATTGTCTGTCTGTCTGTCTGTCCCTCTTTCAAGCATAAGGGAATTTACAAGCATAAGGGTATTTACACATCTCTCCTTTTTTGAAAGGGGTTATGGCATATTTGACTCTCTTGTTTTATCCAGGAGTGATCCAAAGCACACCTCTGCGAGTAGGAAAATTCTGGCCCAGGTTCAGGAAGCATCAAAACGTATGGCAGCTGAGTTGGAGGCAAAACACGCCAATAGTAAGGTACTGTATGCTTAACAGACGATGTGCTGGCCCTTGTAACCAGTCCTCGCCAGAAGAAGGAGGGTGATAACTCTTCACAACATACATACTTTATTTAAGGTATCAAAGAATAACACAAATTATACCCTAAAAAGGAAGTTTAAGAGGTTAGCCCTATGTAAATAAACTTCCAAAGAAATAAAGCTTAAAAATATATGCTTATAATAAAATCTAAGATGGATAAAAACCTAAGAAATCCGCAGTATAATTAATTTTAGGAGCTGTTTTGAAACGTGTTAAGGTACCTATCTCAACGACATTGGCGGGCAGGTCATTCCATTCACGAATGATTTTAATGAAAAAAAAGAGTATTTATAACAAGTACATTACTGTTCGTGTTCCCAACAGCTGGATGATAAAAATCCCCATTTCTACAAATCCGTAGCCCCCTTGTCTTTGAATTAGCTACAAGTAAATATCGCTTCCAAAGTCTAAAATCTTCGCACGAACTTTTGCTCGAACTTTCGAGGAACCTTCCCGAGAACAAGGAACGAAATTTCTTTAGCATGACTTTTGCACAACACTGTTGTATTGACTATCTCCCATGTGACTGTTTCTTTATTGTTATACTGTTGGTTTAATCTTTTCTTTACTTTTAAGCATTTGTTTTTTCCGTTTTACAGGTCGGTTTTCTACGGCGAGACAAAGATGGAACTACGACTTTAGCTGTAGTTAACCCAGTGGACTCTGAAGGTACAGAATCTGATAGCAATTTCAACCATCCTTGAAAACTGAAAACCCATTCTTATGGAAAAAAAAATACCCTAAAGCTATCTCTCTCTAACCTATTTTTGGATCTCCCCTTTGCCGTTTCAGTTCCAGAGTATCGTAACGTTAATCTCGGGGCACAACTTGGTAAAGTGGTCAACGGCTCACACACGACTGCTGGCTTCAAGGAAGACAAGAGAAACAAGGCCACACCCGGTACAAATGCGCTATTTCCCCTTTTGGTTCCTATATTTATTTTATCAACCGTTTCTCAAGATCTAAAGATCACTTCTTCACACTGTCTACATTATAGAAGCATTGTTTTATCCCGTGTCTGTCGATAGTCTTGGATACTTCTTTTCTGTTCCAGTTTCATACTTGATGTACGGACCGTATGGCTCTTTCGCCCCCACCTACGACTCTTCGAGAGCCACAATAACAAAAGAACACTCAGACTTGCTGTACAGCACGTATGGTGATGACACTGGCATACATTACGCCAAAAGGTAAGAGGGTGAGCAGATAGCCAAGAAAAAAAAAAAAAACAGAATTAATCAAATTAATTTTTGAGATGTCAGCCGCACTATTTCTCAACCCTGTACACCTTAGCATCAGTGTGCATTTTCTCCATACTGTTCTCTATACATTTTCCTAAGATGCTCACAAGGAGAATTTATATAACAAATTTGTAATTGTTTTTTTCGATGTGAAGTCTTCAAGCGTTTGTAAAAGACGCTTCCTCGTTCTCACATGAAGCTGTGGATAGGCTGCTGGATGTTCTGACGGAAGGAGCACATTCTAAATACGTGAAACATATTGCTGAGGTAAGCCGGCTCAAGGCCTAGGAGCTCTGAGAAAGTTGGTCACTAGGCGCAAAGTCGCTGAGTTGTTATTTGTCCTCGCGTTATACTTTTGACTAATTTATTTCCATTCATTCATTCCTTTTTTTTCCTCAGAAAGAGAAGGCCGAGGAAGAAAGACAGGTTAAAGAGAATCAAAACAGTGAGCAAAAACCGGTGGTTGCAGCTAAATCAAGCGAGGTACATTTAAATGCTCTCACAGTGTTTCCCTTATGTTAACGGCCGAAAATTAAAGAATGAACAAATAGAAAAAATCCTCTCTTGAGATGAGTAGCCGTGAGTCGTAATAGCTTGACTGTATTTATCACCATTTTACGAAGGGTTGTCATGCCGTATTACTGCGTCTAGGGACATACTCTGAAATCTTGTTAACCAACCTACTGAAATAAATCCATTCTTTTAGTTGTCTGGTAGTTAACAATACCATTATGTGCTCTCAATCTTTTTAGATTTTGTGGTTTTTCAACGGTTAAACGTGTGTGTGTTGTTTCTTCTCAGAAGAGCCAAGATGTCAATAAAACAGTCGCTGTTTCCACCGCCGGAACGAGTGTGAATTCTAAGGTATTGTCACTTTGTGTACATGTGGTTCACGAAAAACTGGTGCTCACGCGTGTCATGATTTTTGGGGCAACCTGGGCACTGTTTTGTCTGGTTATTCAGTGTTTCATCACTTTGCCTTCCCTTCAACACATAAAATTCATTTCTTTCCATTTCTGCAGCCTACTTCAACAACTTCGACTTCAGACTCTTCGTCTTCTGGTACGCTCATACACATTGGTAGTTTGAACTGTTTATTTCCGGACTACTGATTTTGCGATAGTTTTACATCTGTTGAATGCTTTTTCAATATTCCTTTTTCTTTTTT